ATTTGTTGTTAAGTGAGTTTTCCTCCATTTTACGACTTTTCTCGCCACATTTGTTAAGTGAATCACTGCGGTTCTTAAATCAGTAACACTGTTGTTAAGAGAATCTGGTTTCCCCATGGACTTTGCTCGTCAGAAGGTCACAAAAACGGGATCACGTGACTCTGGGACACTTCAACCGTCATAAATGTGAGTCAGTTGTCAAGCCTCCGAATGTAAATCATGTGGGTATACTGCAACAGTGGTACGTCTGAAAAATGGTCATACGTCGCTTTTTTCCAATGCCGTAAATTTGACCGGTCATTAAATGAGCTGTTGTAAGTCAAGGACTGCCTGTATGCTGTCTTCTTCTTCTTCAGACCCTCCACTTGATAGACAAAAATCTAACAAAAATGGCATGTCGTGACTCCAGCAAAGAATATGCTGGAAGACTAGGGGACAAAGCATTCATAAGCCACAGCAGCACTCAGATCAGCACATCAAGGCCAGGTTGGTATGTTTGAAAATGATGGATAGTCAGTAAATAGAAGGAATCAAAAGAACACTTTGCAGAAGAATGGAGGAGAAGGAAGGTAGAAAATGGAAAATACTTCGGAAGCACAGTGAATCATCGATATAAAGAGAGAAAAGCTTGACAAACAATACACCCACCATTTACCATGAGTACCATTTTATCTCCTGAGTACCTGCTTTGAGAAATTATGTAAGAATTGAAAAGGTTCTTACTTATTACGAGAAGAAAAAGCAGATAGCTGAAACATTTTTTTTGCAGTGAGCATGCTGGTTACATGAATACAGGTAGTCCTTGATTTGCAACTATTACTTAACCGTTCAAAATTGTAATGGACTCAAAAAACAGTTACTTGTGACCCTTCTTTGAAATTAAGACTGCTTCATCTCCCCCGTGGCCACACGATTGCATTTTGGGTGCTTGGCAACAGGCACGCATTTACGAGCGGTTGCTGTGTCCCAGGGGCACACGATCACGTTTTGCAATCCCCCCCCCAATTTGTCAGTAAAAAACACCCATTGGGACAAAATGGATTCACACTGATGACCAGGTGGTTTGCTTATTGACCAGGTGGTTTGCTTAAGGACTCTGGTGACTTGCTTAAGGACTGTCGTAAAAATGGTTGTAAAATCACCTCCAGTCATGTGGTGCCTCAGCCTACGACTGCAACAACATACGGCCAAAATTCTGGTCTCACTTGAGGTCATAAGTGTGAGACTACCTAACTTTGACAGTGGAATAAATAGTTTTGATGCAGAGTAAGGCTTCAAAATGAGGAGTCACGTGAAGATAGTAATATGACTTTATGGTACATGGTAGATTTAGCAGTAATAATTCAACTCTTGGTGTGAATGGGTTGCCCCATCGTGCTGAACTTCCACTAAAAGTTTAATTAGTTATGATACCTATCTGTACTGTGTACAATATTTGCTCTCTCCTTCCTTTTTCCTGTTGCCTTGCTCAAGCAGCAAACAACCCAAGATTCGGCACTTATTCTAAATCTACATTCCCGTTGCTTGTGAACTGATAATTTTAGATCAGTGTTTCTAAACAAGCGAGGAGCTGTACACTGAAGTTAAAATTGGGTACATTTTGGCTTTTCGGCTTTCCATTTTATTGAAAGTGTCTACTGTGAAAGATTAGGGTAAACCCCCTTTTTTAAAGAAGCTGCACTTCTGAATTCCAAAGCAATCAGAATTTCTATCAGAATTCAGTCAGAATTTCTAGGAGCCCTGGTGGCGCGGTGGTTAGAATGCAGTATTGCAGGCTAATTCTGCCCGCTGCCAGGAGTTCGAGTCTCACCGGCTCAAAGTTGACTCAGCTTTCCATCCTTCCGAGGTCGGTAAGATGAGGACCCAGATTGTTGGGGGAAAGAGGCTGACTCTGTAAACCGCTTAGAGAGGGCTGTAAAGCACTGTGAAGCGGTATATAAGTCTAAGTGCTGTTACTATCCAAATCCTTTTGTTCTAATCATGAAGCTTGTATGTTGTCCAATACAATTACGTCTTGTCTTTTTCCCTTCTTTTGTTGTAACAGTCTAAATTTACAGTATTTCCAGTTAACGTAAGCACCTCTTGTGTCTTTGGAGAAATATATTTAATATCAGGTCCAAAGTTAAATAGGCTACTGGTGATACCCTTGTCAGCTTACCTTGTTTGAAAAAAAAAATGGTTTGTTTGAGGATTTTTTAACTCACTTAATTAACAAACAAACTGGATTAACACCTAACAAACTATTTCCCTGCTAGTGGAATGAAATGGTCCTAGTCTCATAACTACAATTTGATGCCTTTTTCCTTAGATGGTGAATAGAGAAATGATGCAGAACAGGCTGGGAAGTGTTTAGCACCTTCTCCATCTGCCATTGCTCTATATCATATTCCACTTAGACGTTCAAATAAACACCGTGAAAACCTCCTTAGAGTAGAAATAATATAGCTTGTAAGAAAAGTCTTAAAACCACCCTGTCACTTTCCTTACATTTCTTCAGTCACTTTCTCTCCGCTTCTCAAGTTTAAAAAGGATTATGGCTGTACATGTTTGCATTATCGTTTATTTTGTTCCTGAATTGGTGTCTGCTTGGTTTTATACTGTAATTTAAAACAGTACAGTAGATTGATGGTCTTCTCTGGCAACTAAGAATTCCACCTTGCTCTGCATAACATCTAGATTTGAGAAGTCTAGCTTATTGTTTTGTTTCTAAATGTCTAAATACTTGGGTTGAGCCAAAAAGGAGTGCCAGATTAACCTCACTGTAGTCTTAAAAAATAAAATATCGAAGAAGAAGGAAAAATGAAATGGGGAAGAAAAATACATACTCAGGCACCACTTTTTAACGTAGTTTCATCAGTCTATAATGTTGTGGTGGCAATGAGTTTCATAGGAAGGGCTGACTAATTTCTTAGAGCCCAGTGTTGTTCTTTACAACACAGCTTGTGCCAGCTTGTTTTCAGTAGCTACGTAGTTATGTTAAGACAATGTTTAATGAATCCATCTAGCTACCTGAAGTTACTAGGACAAATAATAATAATAATAATAATAATAATAATAATAATAATAATAATAATAATAATAATAATAATAATAATAATAATAATAATAATAATAATAAAGTTGGAAGGGACCTTGGAGGTCATCGAGTCCAACCCCCTGCTCAGGTAGGAACCCTACACCATTTCAGACAAATGGCTGTCCAGTCTCTTCTTAAAAACCTCCAGTGTTGGAGCATTCACCGCTTCTGGAGGCAGGTTGTTCCACTGGTTAATTGTTCTCACTGTCAGGAAGTTTCTCCTTAGTTCTAGGTTGCTTCTCTCCTTGATCAGTTTCCACCCGTTGCTTCTCGTCCTGCCTTCAGGTGCCTTGGAGAATAGCTTGACTCCCTCTTCTTTGGGGCAGCCCCTGAGATATTGGAACACTCTATCATGTCCCCCCTTGTCCTTCTCTTCATTAAACTAGACCTACCCAATTCCAGCAACCGTTCCTTATATGTTTTAGCCTCCAGTCCCCTAATCATCTTTGTTGCTCTTCTCTGCACTCTTTCTAGAGTCTCAGCATCTTTTTTACATCGTGGTGACCAAAACTGGATGCAGTATTCCAAGTATGGCCTTACTAAGGCATTGTAAAGTGGTATTAATACTTAAGCTGTGCCCTTTTTTGTATGTGTGAATATCAAACATCACAATGCTGCTGATGCCTAAAAGCAGACGTATGAGCCTTAACTATTGATTAAACCATTTTCAAAATTAATATTATGCAAAGTGTTGGAAACAACACTTTTGTGTTATTGTATTTTTCTGGCTATAGCAAGATTTCCCCCATTGGATCAAAGCTGTTCTCGAACAATTTATCCTCAAATGAAGAAAAAGTGAATATCACATATGAGCCAGCATATCAAAATTGGCCATTTTTGCATGTTTTTAAAAAATCTCTCTCTCTCTCTCTCTCTCTCTCTCTCTCTCACACACACACACACACACACATTTTGAATTTTGGGAATTTTATTCCAATCAACTGCTCCTTGCTAAGCAACATTCTTCCAACAGATTTCTAACCTCGGCGTTATTTGTATATACCAACGTGGTTTGTTTTTAATTAGTCAAAATTTAGCAAAAGCCAAGAACTTGGTGTTCTGTCAAGGCCAAATTATCTGTATTAAGTTTAAAGGAGGTCCTTTGACTGGATTGAAGAGGAAGTATGCTGACAAAGCTGCTAAAGAAAAATTATAGTACCGATGTCCCGTAGATAGATATGGTATTATTCATCAAGAGGTTATTATTAAACATAATTCCATTTATTTTCAGCTGTGCTATTTGACTGTGCATTGTTGGTTATTTTTATTGTAAAATGGAGGAAGATGCAATACTGTCTAGGTTGCACGTTGGACTAATCTGATGTAATCTGCTAAGAGGATTCACATGATACAATTTACTTGGTTTTGGGATAGTTTATTACGTATCCTCACCTTTGGTTTACATATCACGATTGATAGTGCATTAATCCAGCCAACTATGTCCAGATAAGTCCATGTGAAGGAATAATTTTAGTTAACTGATTTGAGGAGATAAGCCACATTTGATTAAAAGGCAATCAATTTGTCACAGAAACGAATTGTCCTACCTGTTAAGATTTTACAAACCTCAAGAAACTAAAACCCATAGCCACAAAAATGGAGTTTGGGGATAGAGTTTGTCCACATGTACAAGCAAGGCAGAGGACATGGTCTAAAGTCCACAGGATGTGACTTCAGTCATAAAAAGGAGCAGAGCATTTTCGAAGCAAGAAAATCTTGTCAAGTGGCTGAGATGGTTGAGCTGGAGAAAGAGAATTTACAGCCATTTACTATCCCCAAACAAGATTAGAAAAATACATGGTTGCATGCCATAAAGAGTGCTGACTGCTAAACTGAAGAGTTGAATATTTGTAATTATTCTGTGTGAACAGCTTTGTCAATCTGCTTCCAATAAGTCATTTTTTTTTGTTGTCTCCAGGGTCTAGACCACAATGGAACATAAGGGGACAGTGGACCTGGAAGATGATTTGGGATTATTATCACGCCTTGCCCCTAGTCCTCACAGTGAAACAGTTGCCCATGAATTCAAAGAACTCTCTTTGCATCCAAACCAGTATTTACCTCCTCTCAAAGAAAGAAAGAATGGTAAGTATGCAACACAGTTTAAGGTATTTTTTGACCAAAGTAAGCTACCCTTTGGTTTCATACCCATTTACAAGATAAGCGGCTAAACGTTCTGTAACGTTGCAAAATGTCATAAACGTAGGATTTCCAGATGCAGCCATCCTCCAGTGCTTACATAATGTACTAATTACTCATGTAGACAATGCTCCTCTAATGAACGTCCTCTATATTTTAATATCTAGTTTTGGAATGTTAGTTTCGTTGGTCATTTATAGAACTTAACGGATGTTTGTTTTCATGTCTTCCTGTACTGTTTCTTTTGGCGAGAAAACCGGAGGCTTAATCTGGGCATGTCTAGTCTGAAAACTGAACATGTTTCCATTTGGTGGGATCTTCATTCTTTGCATCCGTTTGGGAAAACACACACTTGCATGTGGTCTTTTTACTGCGGCATGCTTGTCTAGCGATTCCTTACATCTTTTTAACAGCTGTTTTAGTCTGAAATATCAGGGTTTATCTTGAAAAATCTCCACGACGTCAGACCTTCTAACTTTGCCTATTCCTAATAGTGAATTTAATTCTGCTTCTTTAACTACCTTTTTTTAAAAAGCTCATGGAGGTAGCTATGCAGATATTTGCAAGGAATTGGACCTGATGTGTTAAAGAGGACTAATACATCTCTGTTTCTGTAGCAGCACAACAATTGTGAGACAGTTGCCTGTACCACTATGGCTCATGCTTTCATAAAAGTCAGATAGCAGTAGTGCATGCGATGTGTAGTAACTGTTTTAGATTGTGGGACCATGATTTCATTTATGTCCCACTGAAAGGTATTTTAATGCAGTACTCACTCAGGCAGTTCTCTTCACCTTCTCAGATTATGCCAAAGGTAATACAGTTCTAGAGCCTGTGTTTAGAATTACAGGAGCCAATATTTACTTGAGAATGAACTATTAAAACAATAGTCTTGTGCAGTTTTGTAATATTCCCTGGCTTTGTCCACTTCCAGCATAGGGGAGTTGGCTTTGCTCAAGAAGCTCTAACAAGTCCATTCAGATCCCGAAAATGTATCTCTCTGGATTTCTTCCAATAAGCTTTTCATCCTAGTTTTCAAGCAGGTTTTATTATAATCCCTTTTGCAGCCTGAAATGGATTATTCATCCTTTGCTCGTTGTGACTTGATTTTACAGTTCATATTAAAAATCAACAGTTTATTTTTTTAGGGGGAGACAAAAAAAAGCAAAAAGCAAAAAAAAACCACCAAACCATTCTTTATGATGTTGGCAGAATTGCTTGTGCACAAAACTTTGATTAAAAACTGCAGGTCAAACAGTGATAGGTTCCAATTTTTTTAAAAAAAAATACTTTCTATATTCAACATTTACTTCTTTCATTTTACTCATCCTATTTGACTGAAAATCTATTCTGACAAGGATCTCTTTAGGTATTAACAATACAGTAGTATCAGATGGGACTGAAATATATTGTGTGGAGCCCAGTGATTTATTATTATTATTATTATTTTGCCCCTATTTGAACATATAAACTATTATTGCAGCAACTCATTGTTCAGCTTTATCTTTTGGGCTTCTTTAATGGAGGTTGGTCCAATATATTTTTTCCATTGCTGCCTTAGTTTGAAATACAGAGCATGAAAACAATGTTGTATATCTTGTCAACGGGAATTCATTGTGTCATGAGGCATTGCCTTGTTTTTGTATTGAAAATGCAGGCTTAAAGTTCATTTATCTTCTCAGCATGAACTTAGGAAATGCAGTATGTTAAGTTATCCAGAGTCCATAGGGAATTCCACACAAATTAGAAGTGGTCTAAAAGGAAGTATGACATTTTCTGGCCTCTGAGCTGGTTGTTATTTTATAAAGTTGAGTACAAATCAACTGTTGGCAAGAGCAGTCTTCCAAAAATATAATTCCTCCAAAGTCTTTCATCAAAAAGCTTTTAGTACTGATCCGAGATTTTAATTTTGAAAGTTACTTTGCTTTCAGTTAGTCTTCAAATCCTTTACTCTCCAGCTTTCATTTTAAAAATCACCGTTTTTAACCTTTATCGTCCCAAGTCCACTGTTCTCATGGTCTTTAAATGACAAAAACAAATAGTCGCAAATAAATTTGATATCCCCCTGATACGCAAACCTACCTTTTAAACCCAGTTCTGTTGTTTTTAAAGTTGTAATATTTTAATTGTTGTTGTTTAAGCCCATATTTTATGATCAGTGCTGCTCCATGATATAAATACAAAATTGCAACATGTAATGAAATTCACTCAGGGTCCAATATTGTAAAATTTGAGGGGCAGGAAACTGTGACGTGTGAATCATTTGGTCAACTTGTGCCTTTTATCTTCTAAGCCATGACGTCTCTTAGCTTATAAGAAATGGGGAGGCAGATCTTGTATGTGCTATTTCCCATTTAGCCTGTCATTGTCCTCAGTACTGCCAGTTCCCACAACTCCAGCATTCCCAAGGCATCTGTCAATGTCTGCAAGGAACAGATTTCAAATATTAAAGCATGTGAAAAGACCCACAGGCCAAGCTCCAGTGGTCTCCAGAGAATTGATCTCTAAAATCAACTCTCTTCTCACATTTTCACAGGCTTCTTTAAAGGAATTTCTGTACAGTCGTTTCATTTGGTAAACACTTTAAGTTAAATCTCTGTCACTTTTAGTGAGATTTATTAGCGACTCTGTCCCCTTGCTTTTAGCAAAATAACCAGAAATGCAATTAACGTCCCAATTTTAACAGTTTAAAAAAAACAAGAAAAAAATTATACATATATTGATATTTAATCTTAATGTAAGTTTCCAGATCTTTTTTTGTGTGTGTGTGGATAAAAACATTATTTATTTGGAAATTAGTTTAGCATTTACTGAAAGAGTTTTTAAAAAAAACAAAATAAATCCCCAAAGGAAATCATTGAATTCAGGATGTTCCTTTTCCTGAAGTATTAAAAAAAAATCTTGAGTGTAGAGATTGGGTGAATGAGGTTTCAAACAAATGGCTTGTCAAAATGCCATGATGCTAATATCATATAAATGACCTAAAAGAAAACAGTAACAGGAAATAACTTCCAATGGGTCGGAATGTTTTTCCTTCATATGAAAAATGGGTTGCAGCTTAATATATATTCAAGCGAGGCAGTAAATAAAATGCAGAAATAAAATAGGGCTGTGAATAAAGTTGTGAAGATTCCTGGATATTTATGATTAGGGAGAATGGAGAAGCTTGACATTAGGTTCAGTAAGCAAACGTAAGGTGTGTGGTTTGTTTGTAAAACATTTCTGGGGAAAGCCCATTTAATTGAGACATCAAAGTGAGAGTAGCAGTAGATATTTGAGACATTTGTCTCATACCATGAGGTCATTGGAATAGCATCTTCCTTAGGGCAAATAGCAACCTGGAGGAGGGAGGATTTTAAACAAGAAGTGTGTGTGTGTGTGTGTGTGTGTAAGAGAGAGAGAGAGAATGAGAGAGGGAGGGAGAGAGAGGGATTTTGATCTAATGCAGGAGTCTTCAAACTTGGCCCTTTTATGACTTGTGGACTTCAACTCCCAGAATTCCTAAGCCAGGCATGCTGGCTGAGGAATTCTGGGAATTGAAGTCCACAAGTCATAAAAGGACCAAGTTTGAAGACCCCTGATCTAACGACTAGGTACAATAAACTTTGAAGCTGTTGTACTCTTAGTTAATAAAATTAAATGTTAATTGTTAAAGCTGAATATTTTTCTAATTGAAAAGCTTATCTGTTCGGAAAACAGCTTCAAGTATAATTTTTTGGATTCCTTCTAAAATCAGCAGTGTCGTTGTCATTAAGGTTTGTGTTCTAAGAAGTGGAGCTAATTAGCTCACAAACAAGAGGTATATAAAAATCTCATGTCTTCTGTGTCATCTTTAGCTTTAATTTCATTTAAAAGAGTCTTCTATCAGTATCTTTAAAGCACTGCTCAAAAGAGGGGAAGTCAATTTGAGCAATCCTGAGTAATCTCTTATCTGGAAGGACTGAGTTAGTAGTTTTCCACCAAATGTCATAGTAGTTGCTCAACCAGTTTCACCATCTCCAGATGGGATAATAGGTTTCTTTCATGCGGTGGGATAATCTCTCTTTAGATTGTGTGTCTTTCAAGAAATTCTATTATTAACAGACCGAAGCTGATGTAAGTAGGCTTCATTTCTGCATTCTATGAAGCTGAGCTGTGTGATCTGATGGCACGGCAAAAACATCTTGCTAGCTTATTATCTAGCAGCTATGTAAATGTTTTAAATGAAAAAATAATTCTTGGGCCGATATGAGATAGTGGCATGTCAAGATGAATACTGTACTAATAGCCCCTAGTGCTGACAGCATTGTACATAGTAGGATGAGACATAGGGGTGATCAAGTTTGGATACAATGCATTTTAAATATATATATATATATTAAAGTATTTTTGCCACCACAGAGCAAGCAACACAAGAATTTAAGAAGATACAGTCAGTCTTCAATTTACAACCACAACTGAGCCCAAAATTTATGTTGCTAAGTGAGGCATTTGTTAAGTGAATTTTGCCCCATTTTATGACCTTTCTTCCCACACTTGTTAAGCAAAATCACTGTAGTTAAGTTAGTAACGTGGTTGTTAAGTGAATCTGGCTTCCCCCATTGACTTTGCTTGTCAGAAGGTCGCAAAAGGGGATCATGTGACCCCGGGACACTGCAAACCGTCATAAATACGAGTCAGTTGCCAAGCGCCTGAATTTCGATCACCTGACCGTGGGGATGCTGCAATAGCCCTAAGTATGAAAAATGGGCCTAAGCCACTTTTTTTAAACTACCATTGTAACTTCAGGTGGTCACTAAATGAACCGTTATAAGTCGAGGACAACCTGTACCAGAGAAAACTTAAAACTTTTTTCAAAACCTGGTATCCTACTTGCCTAGAGTTACTGCATCCCCTGCCCTAACTTCATAACCGCTACATCACATTGGCCCTATAATAATAATAATAATAATAATAATAATAATAAT